ATTTTTTTAATAAACGTTAACCTATGGCATTATTATGGGAAATAAATTTATATTTCATACTTTACTACTGATTTGCGATTACAAAAAGATTTGTAATCGCAAATCAATTTATTTTCCGTTTAAACAAGTGAGAAAATGGATCTTTATGTATAAGACAAAATTGCCCTAAAGTAAGTGATGCGAAAATCCCAGAAGGAATTTTCGTAGGACCTCAAATCCATAATGAAGTTTTTATACAAAAATTAAATACTTAAAAAATATGTAACTGCATGAAACTCATTTAAAAGTGTATTCCTCAGATTTCTTGCAATAACAGAAATGAAAATTATTCAATATTTTATTTAAAAACTATTGGAGAATTCTAAAAAGTGCATTTCCGATTCGAAGGACTGTAAGTGAAAAACAAAATTGTTTTCATTAAGATATTAGTGCCATGGAAAAAAGGTCTCAAGGGATATGGGATTTGACAATGATGGGAGATTGTAAAAGAAAAACTTTACTCCTCATAAAAAATTGAAATTCTTGAAAATATTTTTTTGTTTTTGTGTTTAATTTATTATCTAGTGTTCCATTTTGTCTAGTTTAAAATTAGAAATGATTTAATACATTTTTTAGTTCAGTCTATATCGTGAATATGAGTGATTACTTAGACCACTCTTTACATATGAAAACAAAAATAATAAAAAACCTTTCGTGATGGAGAATTTTGGAGATGGAGATTTTCTCAAAATTACATAGGATACAAGTATTTTTAACAATGTTAGAAAAAAAATTGAAAAACGTCGCCTAGTGTAAGCTGGTACTTTATTCCCTATCGAATATAATAAATGAAATTTGTTCTTTCAGAAAAAAAAAATTTTGCATGATAAAAATTTAAGGTTTTTTTTAGAATCAAGAGCATGTTAAAAAATTATCAAGCTTTTACAACAGTGGAAATATGTATTTGTGAAACAGTAACTCTCACCATAAAATAAAAATCAACATAGTGAATATGGAAGATTTTAGCATTTTTTCAAAATTGTGTGAGCTAGAGTCCAACATTTTGTAACAGAATTCGCAAAAATCATTTTGTTTTTTGAATCAGAAACTTGTTCTAAATCTAGAATTTGTTAATTTCCGGTTTCACAAATCGAAATTGGGTGAATATTTCACTACCAATTTTTTTATTCAGTGCCATCTGCTGTTTCCTGTGCTAACTAACATTCCCAAGGCAATCAAAGCAATTTTCTCTTACGTCTAAGCATGACCGGTCCGGTTTGTTTAATTTTAATTTTTTATCTAAGCCTCACATTGCTACCAACCAACCCAACATAAATAAATTCCTTGCAGTAAATAAAACGTTTCAATATTCTTTTAATTAATTATAAAAAAAAAGAAAAGAGCAATGAAAAGCGCGACCGGCTTCATTAGCTCGATAATTTATTGCCGTCTCTTTTGTGTTAAACTTCCTTGACAACTATTTCAAGCCTTAATCGCGTACAAATTGGCCGACATAATGAACACGTTTTAGATAATTCCCCTGCATCGTAAACCTCCGCAAAACCCCTAGATGCGGACCCATAAATTATCGCACATGTTTCGACCGTAAACAGATCTGATAATCTCATAGTTGATTTTAAGTACCCCATAAACCTGCCGCCGCGTTTATACTCATTTTTGACCGAATCAATCTCTGGCGAATCGGAATTTGTCGTGGGTTGGTTTCATTGGGTCAAAATAAAAAACCACGGTGAAAGAACCAAAATCAGACCCAATTACATTTTTAAAGGACAAATCAAATATTTGTCAAATGTTCGGCTAGAGGTGACAGTTGAGGACGCGTCTAGTGTTTGCTTAAACAATTATAAAAGTGAAGGGACTTTTATAACAATTATTTAACGATTGATTGGAGGAAATCTCTCAAAAGAACCGTAAACCAAGCAAAAAATCTACAGTAAATATCGATATATAAATGGCACGCACGAGCAAACAGGTGTTATTACGATTTATAATGTAGAACACGTGGGTCAGCTCTGAGTGGATTTTTGTGTCTGTTTGAAAATGACTAATGAGATCATGCAAAAATGATCAAATAATGAAACGCAACAACTTTTAACACAATTAGGTGTTGTGAAGCAATTCGTGAATATAATCTACGGTCCTGTAATAACTCCAAAGTGTAGATACATTCAACGATAGAGCATAAAGTGGGCAGAAGATTAGATGTTAAGTGGTATAGAGTGTGTAGAAATGTGTGCGGTGGCCCGAGAACAACACGAACACTGGCACGGGCCTTCTACTAATAGTTCGCGTGTTTGGCTTGCACGCATCTGTACTAGACCAGCACACGCCGTTCACTAACCGTTCCACTTCTGCACTATTTCCATTTTTTTTATATACAATGAAATTTAATTCGGTTCGAGTTCGAGTAAGAGATAATTAATCTTTTTGGCACTGGAGGTGGGTGCTGGCGTGACCAAGGCTATGTTTTCGGGGGAATCGTGGCTCTTTTCAATGGAAGAAGACCGTTAACGAAATTTTTAAACCGGATATAAGTTTTATTCGAGCGCAGTGGCACACTGTTGAAGTGGATTTCACGCCATAAAAAATCCTGAGTAGTTTAGGGAATTTTTGAAAAGGAGAATTTAAGGCAAAAATCTCTAAAGTGTCAAAATTTCAGTTCAGCAGATTTTGAATTCATTTGTGTTACAAATAAAAGCTTTTTGAAGCTAAAGTCAAAAAACAACTTGAATAATTGCCAATTTTAGTATTGTAGTGCAGGGTGAATAAAAAGTATGGACCCAAGCGGTTTTTTTTAGATCTTTTGCTTCCTTAATTAAAATAAAATTAATAAGAATAATCTTAATAAAAATTAAAGTGCTATAAATATTGTTACCGTGTTTTGAGAATAAAATTTCGTTTTGTTTTTGAGTTTTTTTGTCAAAATGGCAACTTAGGTATGTGAAAATTTTTTTGATAAAAATAGAATATAAAGTAGATAGCTGTAATCCTTAGATTATAGCCTTTATAAAAAAGGGTTTTGTAGTGGGTTGCCATTTAAAAAAAAAATTTTTGCAAAACTCAAAAAGAAAAAAAAAACATTTCGAAAAAATTTAAAATTTATTCTTGACTCAATTCTTGATAAAATTTTCTAGTACTCGAAATAAATCTAAATTATATACAGGGTGAATATAAAATATGGAACCAAGCGGTTTTTTTTAGTGCTTTGCCTCTAGAAAATAATAATTAATACAAATTAAAGTAATATAAAAATGTAATCGTATTTTGAGAACAAAATTCTGTTTTGTTTTTGAGTTAGGTACCTATACGATTTTTTTTGTCAAAATCGCAATTTATGTAAAAAAATTATTGAAAAAATTAAATATAAAGTAGATAGTTGTAATCCTTAGATCATAACCTTTATTAGAAAGTGTGTGTGTGGAAAAGTGGGTTGCCATTTAAAAAATTAAAATTTTTGTAGAAATCAAAAAAAAAATTTGAAAAAATTTATTCTTGATAAAACATCACATTTTTATAGTACTTTATGGTACATCAATTAGTTTTTCAAAAAATGCATAGTTTAAGCAAAAAACGTTTAGTTCCATACTTTTTATTCACCCTGTATGTATATTCGGATTTTCCAATTTGGTTTCTAAAAGAATTGAAATTTAGACATTCAAAATCTGAATTAAAAAAAAGAAATTTTAATTTTTATATCCAGTACCTATTAGAGCTTCTAAGTCCAATTTATGTCAAATTATAAGAAATGTCAATTGAAAAACTTTGTAAACTTTACGTTTACAGAAAAAACTATTAATGGCCTTTCCTTCCAACAGGGAATAAAGATAAAAAAGATAATAATCTGGTACTTTGTTCTCTCGGGAATAAAATAACTGAAATACCAATTTTTACTCTTAAAAGAAATTGAAGTTTAATAAATTGAATATTTTGAATCTTTTTTGGCACAAACAAACTCTTTGATAGTTGATATCGATGTTAACTCTTAAAATTACAACTGAATAAACTGAATATTTTAGCAAATTATTTGATATTATTTGAAAAACTTATCATTTTTTATGTTATTATTAATTTAGGCTTATGAGAGGAAAGAAGCTCTAGAAAAACATCGCAAATAAAATAGTAAATAGTTGTTTATTCCTTTGACACATAAATAACTATTAATTTCATTTTCTATAGTTTACAAATGTAAAAACTTTGTTTTGTTTTATGCATTTATTCAATCATTATTTGTTTTAAATGGACTTTACTCAAAAACTGCTTTATCATGAGCTGTAAAAACGCCTTTTACAGCCTGCAAATAAAATGTAAAGCTGTTTTCGCCACAAAAGTAAGCACATTATTCTATTTATTCCATCATTAAAACTTCTTTACTTCGTTTTAATAAACCCATAAACGTTTTCTTCTCATCCATGACTTCTACAGCTTTTTATACAAAATTGCAAAATTTCTCTCCATTTTTGGTGCGAAAATTTAATGTAGAAAGCAATGTGGATTTGTAAATTCAGGAAGCAGATGATGTTTATATCAAAAATAAAAATTTATTTCGGTAAAGTAAGTTTTATAAAAATTGTAAATTTCTTACATAATAAAATTTGAATTGTATAATTTTTAAAGAAGTTAAGTTTAACATTTTTTACTAGAAAGGTGAGAAAAAAGAATTTTAAATCTGAGAAATTCCTAATTTTATACGTTTGCAAAATGGTCTTATATTGAATTAATAATTTCTGCAATCTTACAACCAGAATTTATTATAAAATTCTTGTTTAGTTTTTTATTTGTCATATTCGACAAAACTGCTTCATTACAAGCTGTAAAAACGCTTTTTACAGTCTGTAAATAAAATCAAAAATCAAAATAGCGGTTTTCTCCTCAAAGTAAGCATATTGTTAGCATTTCATTACTTCGTTTTGTGTTAACTTTTCTTACAAAAAAAGATTTCGTGTTTTGTTACATCGTGCGTCCCCTGTCGCCACCTCTCCTAACTCTCTTTCTCGTTTCAGAACTTCCGCGACCAGAGAATAGATGGCTCCGGTCTGCCTCTCCTGACTGAAGAGCACCTCACCACAACAATGAACATGAAACTGGGGCCGGCCCTGAAACTGCGCTCTCTCTTGGCGAAAAAAGTCGGCTCTTGCAGCGTGTGTCTCCACTGTACCCATTGTCACAACAGTACCGGATCCCCGGAGCCGTCAAACACCGCCGGAAACACTTCAGATTCCGGTGGCGCGTCATGATCGTCCACTGCCTATTATTTATTTCGTTTTATTGTTGTACTTAGAATGTTCCGGGATAAAGTACAAAGAAGACATAGAGAATAGAGCGCGCGAGCTGAAATCCTGAAGGAAAAAACGAGACGTGCCTGTTGACTAACTGCTCATTTAATTATTACGTAGAATAGTTCCTAAATTTTTGATATGATATCCAACGAATTTGTGTGTATTATTGCTCAAGAGGTGCAAAATTTTGTAAATTGTATAGATAAGTGTTAGATGTTACGATTAAGATAGATTTGCTTCTTCTTAAGCTATATTTTGTACAGTATTTTGTTAATTCATGTACCTTGTATTGATTGAAGTTAAAATTATTTTATATAAAGAATTTAAACTGAAATGAGTTTTTTAATCACCCCACCTAAGAAATTAATTTCCTCTAACAAATTGATTGAGACAAGACTTTCGTCGCAATTATTCCAGAAAATGTTGCCGTAATCACTTGTAATTAATAATAGAATTATAAAAAACGTTGCAACTTTCTTTCAAGATAATAAATTCTGACTACAAGAATTTTTATTTGGTGCTAAAAACTGGGATGTATGTTTGAGACATCATAAAAGGAGGTGTAAAGTTGTAAGATATGAGCTTAAATGGCAAATCACAAACGTTATAAATACGTGACACGTATAACAAGACGCTAGATACGATCTTTGTATTTGTTGAAGGTTCCCTTAGTGGTTTTCAAAGCCGTAAATCGTGCAGAAGAATTAATATTTTATTACGTGTCACTAGCAGACTGTTTCCAAATTGAATTAAAAATAAAATAAATTTAACAGCACTAAAACCTGTCAATAATTATTTAAATTTGTACATAATCGTGGAAATAAAATAAAAACGTGTCTCGTAGTTGGCATTATGTCCAAAATTCCATTAAACTGTCGCATCTGTGAGCTTCGTATTATCAAATATAGCAACCAATCGGAATAAGAAATGAGTCTCGTCGCCCCCTGGAGACATTTAAAAGGCCATCCGTAGTTTACGCAACCACCCACGCAATAAAATCCAAAAAAGTGAAATTTCTTTAAACGTCTTTATTCAATCTACCAGCTACGTCATGTAAGTTAATCGAGATCAAAAATATGCAATTTAACATTTAAAACACTTTTTATACCATCATTTTTATTTTACATAATACAGCGAGATTTTCCAAAAACGCAAAAAGGTGGAAAGTGATGTCAAGTTGTTCATTTCCGGAAGCAGCTGATTGGGTTGAAGTAGCATTGGCGGTAGCGACTTTGACGTTTGGCTTCCGGCGAGCGTAAGGTTTTATCCCAACCCAAATCGCCACCTGTTTGACTAGAGATTTCAGACAGTCGCTGCGCCAACAACATCTCCAACTGCCACGGTTTCAGGCCCGAATCCAACAAGTTGTTGCCGTCCTGCTCGGCAACCACCTGAAATTTCAACGGCAAGGCCGAATAAGCAAAGACAACTGGACCCAATACTCAAATTAAATAAAAAACTATGAAGAACTTAAAACAATCTGAAAAAGAATATTTCAAAAGTCAAACACTAAAAAAAATTGCACCAGATGAATCAAGTTTGCATGCATGCATTACACTAAATTTAATTCAATAATAATAAATAAACTATTCAAATGCCGATAGAAAATTAAGAAAGAGTAGATTTTGGGTGTAAAAAATGTACATTTTTACGGTAAAACTGCAAAGGACAAACTTTTCTTGCGTTACCTGAAACGAGCAAATCTGAAATTAAAACTTCATTATATTGATCCTTTAAAGAAAAGTTCATTAACAAACAAAAGTTAAATAACAAAAATATTTGTAAAAAAACATTATTTTAATAAACAGCATCTCAAAAAAAACAGCTTTATGATAAAAAACAAAGTAATTTTTAACAAAAACAATTATTATTCAACTAATTAATTAATTAAATGTGCTTTACATCGATGTCAAAAAAATTAAACCGCCAATATGATGGACTTTAAGAAGCAGACAAAAATTAACTTTTCTTCTTAGTAGATCAGAATAATAAAGTTTTAATTACAGATTGGCAGCACAAAATGTTATTTCTTTGAAGTTTTAGCGTAAAATCAAAGACAATATTTTTCCACTTGTAAACTCAATCTGGTAAAATATGGTAATATAAGGTTTAAAAAATGGAAATTAGAATATCTTTTGGGTGGAATCATAAAATAGTCCAATAAAATATACAGGATGAATATACAGTATGTCCCCGGATTGAATTTACAAGAAGAAAAAAAAATCTATCTTTGATTTTACGCCAAAACTGCAAAGAAATAACATTTTTTGCTTCACTTGAAACGAGCAAATCTGTAATTAAAACTTCATTATTGTGATCCAGTGAAAAGGAAAGTTAATTTTTCTCTTGATTTTGGACTTAAAATAAAACCGCCAATGTGATAGGAAAAGCAGAGAAAAATTATTCCAAAGTCCAAAATTAAGAGAAAAACGAACTTTTCTTTTTACTGAAATAGAATAATGAAGTTTTAATTACAGATTTGCTCGTTCCAGATAAAGCAAAAAATGTTTTTCGTAAAGAAAATATGAAAAAAGCATATTAAAGGTAAACAAACATGCTATCCGGCCTATAAATTGACTGTCGCGCACACAGAAAAAATATTTGCCAAAAGATCTTAAAACTAGAAACTTAAAGCTTCAAAACGCTTTTTTTAAAATGTTGATACGACCATTTTTCGTTGAGTTACAGCCTTTCAAAATTCACCAAAAAATTTAAGAAAATCTTTTGTTCCTTTTTTTGGAGTAGTGTAGTAGATTGTCATGTAAAAAAATTAAAAAATTTGTAGTATTCAAAAACAAAAGAAAATTTCGAAAAATGTTATTCTTGATGTAACATCATATTTTTATAGTACTTTATAATTCATCAATTAGTTTTTCCAAAAAATAAATAGTTTAAGCAAAAAACGTTTGGATCTATCCTTTTTATTCACCTGGTATAATTTCATTATCATAACTTTACAATACGAGTACCTATTTTACATTTTACATTTTTGTAAAAGGAAGCAAAAACTGGTGAATCAACCAAAATTTTGAGACTTGTATCAACCCTCAAGTGGTTTTAAGCCGATTTTATGACAAATACCCACCATAAATCTTGAGAAAACACCTCTTTCTATGCAATTTTTTTTTTATTTTACATTTCATGAAAAAGAAACGTGACTTAAAATAAAAATGCTAATTAAAAAAAATAGTTTAACGGTATTTAGCCATTACAAAAATAATAAATAAAATAAAACATAACAATGGAAAAAAATTATTACAGTTTTAAATACATATTTTTTTATTTATTTTTTATTTATTGTAAGATACTGCAATCAACGACATATTTCTTAAAAAAATTAAATTTAATAATCTTAATTAAAAAAAAACAAAACTGTAAACAATTTAAGAATTAGACAAAGTGGTATTCTATTTGAAAAAAACACCTTAACTTAATTAAAATTTTACTTTAATTACGAAGCGATGTTTTGGGGGCAAAACAGATTATAACTTTCGCGTTTCTGCTGTTTTATTTCAAAATTAAAAAAATTTGAGTTAAAACTTTGCGCAGATGCAGGGAAAACAATCGTTCTTCACGTCGAGTATAAAATTTGATAAAAGCCTCCACACTGAAAAATCTTTCAGCGCTAAACTTGTTGTCCCTAAACCCAAACATACTGATACACGCAATCCAGGCGCTGCACTCCAAGTGTAATATTGTGTTTTCAGACACCATTCACGTCAATTTAGGCAAATTTCAAACACAATTTTCAACGGTAAACTGAAATGGCAACGACAATTCTGTTATGAAATATTCCCTAAGATCTGAACTCAAAGCTCAATTCACATCGCTGTCGTCTTAAACGACAATAAATAAAATTTATTGCCCAACTCACCTGAGAAGCATCCCCAAAGTGGTTCGGACGTGCATTTGCCACCACCAGAGTAGCGATGAGGAAAATAAACAAGGTTTTGGTTAAGCAGTGAGGAAGCTGTGCGGCCATTTCTTGATATGTTAAAGCCTGAAAAACACAAAATTGTCTTTGCGAGAGAAAATAATCAAAAAATTCAATCCACTATCAAATTTCTCAGAAAAAAAAATAATTGAAATTTGATACAAGTTGTGTAACACATAATAAAAACTTCTGGAGTACTTTTGTACAACAATATATGACCCTAGAACAGCTTTATCGATAAAATGTCAGTCCTAACTTGGCAAATTATTTGATAGCTGCCAATATTTACGTTCAACTTTGAGGCAAAAATCCCCTGTTTGTGTAGAAATAAATATGAATTTTTATTAGAAAAATAAAAGTCAAAGAAAAAAATCTAAAAGCTCAATTAGAGCCGTGGAAAAATACGATTATGAGATTTTTAGCTTCGGCCGTAAACGTTGTAATAATAATTTTTATCGATATGGAGTTAATAGACAGCAAACTGTTGATTTTTTATGAAAGAAAAAGCAGAGTAATGGCTTAAGTAGGCCAATTACCGCGTCAAAAACACTGTGATTAGATTAAATGCGAATGAGAGTGTTGATGAAGGGGGAAAGCAAATTTTCGATAATTTTTCCGTTTAAGTTGCAAAGAGAAATTAATGCCTTCTCTTTAAATTAAATTTCCACCTGGCTAGTAGCGAAAAATCCTTGAGTAAATCTCATTTAACGTGCAAGAAACGCCGTGAATTCTATATTAATTAGGTAAACTGATGACTCGAGAAGGGATTAGCGAAGCTTTTAAGCTTTCACAACAGAACGAAAAGATGGGATTATCACAGCTGTAATCTCGTTTGTGCATTTCAGATGAGATCCCTATCATAGGGGTTTTCTACACAAACATGACTTTTGTGGCGTGAGGGTTTATTATCATACGTATACCGTTTTTATGGAGCGGAAGATGCGGATAACTTGCCCGAAGAAAAGTTTTATTAAGTTCGTACGTGGTCGACATTTCAAAAATTTCATAAAAAAGAGATAAACTTGCCGACTGCTGGATCTAAACAGCGAATGAAAATGAAAAATTTCAACGTTTGGTTTAGCTAAGACAAATTACGTCTAAATTATGAATAAAGGAAAGCTTTTTTCTTTATTATGTACTGAGAAAATTAAGGTGCTTTCGTTTAAGTACAAATCATCGTTCATAATTAAGATTTCTTGCCCCAGAAAAATACAATCAATCATTTAACACAAAATTTTACTTTCAGAAGTTAGAAAAACTCAAGCCCTTTGAGACAAAATGGTTTTAGATTTTTCCAGATTTCTTTACAGGAACATTTAAGTACTTTATTTATTTAGATCCTTAAAGCAACAATTAAAAGGTTTCGTCCCACAAAAGCTCAAATCGCAACAATAAAAAAAATCATTATTGTATCACAACTAGGGATTCCGTTTGAATTTTAAACGAAGTAATTGTTCTATTAAGTCCCTCCTTAAGTCCCAGTCCATCCGTTAGAATTACTGATGAATGAAAATTAATTATTCTGTAACAAGTCTGCCAAATTAATAGCTTTGCCCCTAAATAACAATCAATACAGCACTTGAGGAATTGATGAAATTCCAGTTTAAAATTTAGCCAATTAAAAACAATTCGTTTCAAGATTGATTACTTGTAAAAATTTGTAAAAACGCTACACTAGAAATGTAATTACTTTAATCATTTGCACTTTAGCGCGGAATTGTGTCAACACTTCACACGGGAGCTTTAATTACTCGCCAATTTTCTCGAATTACTCTTACCTTTTCCATTTCTTTCCTACTAGAGGTTTTTTACGAAATGTGAAATTCCGATCTGTCACACTTTCGTAAAATTTTCAAAAAACGGGATGATAATATTTACAAACGTGGTTACACTGGATTTTCCCAATTAAAATTAAAGCTCTAAAGCTTTAATAATTTTAGGTGCAGGATAAACAATCAAAGAGGCTTGACAATAGTTTGAAATTTTCGAAAACCACTACAAATATTTGGTTAATGAAATATCCACAATTTCTATTGCCTTGAGGCAGGTCACAGTAATTTTTCATTCGTCTGTGACACTCATTGTTCCATTGTAAATACCATTTGTAATTGACAAGTTTAATCCAATTATAGATTTTTTAAACATTAAAGAGCATCAAATTGGGTTTAAATTTTTAATTAAATAGTTAACTACCTCAAAGAATTTTAATATGTAAACTAAACAAATCTATTAAATTAATCCTAGTGCCAAGTCGGCTTTATGTTTCTCTAAATTGCGACATTGTGTTAGTCCTGGTGTTAATTTAAAACTAGAAAGCCTCGCCGTTTCAAATAACATAATTTGTAAACTCTTTGTTTGCACTAACAGGAATCTATTTGCAAAACTACGAATAAACAAAGTAACAATGATAGCATTTAATTTATTTTGTATTCTGCACATTAAACTTGAGTAAATCCCAAGTCTAAACAGTGCAAATATCACAAAACAAAAGCTGCCCTTAAATAAGCGACTTTCATTTATGACAAAAATTTTGAATTTCCCTGGAGTATAAATCGCAAACGTAAAACAAATAAAACAAAAAAGAGAAACAATAAATGATATTTATTTTAGTGCAAAAAAAACCCAACCAATGTTTAATCTTGTGAATAATCTCGTTAGAGTCGCTAGAAATTCAACTAGTCTTTGCATAATCCTAAATAGAGGAAGCAATTTGTCAAAAATTGCAATTTCCTACCTCCAATATTTGGCTGTAATTCAATTTTATATACGGCGGTGGAAATTTACAAAAATTTAAATTAAATTCGAAATATTTGCGACCGGCGTTACCATCAAGTTTGTAAAAGGCCGTCTCAAATGGTAATTTGCAAATTAATTATGAATCTTCTTAAAGTTTAATAGAGATGGTGGCGTGACATACGAGATATAACACGTTACCAAAAACTTTGATTGAGGGTTTAAACAAATAAGATTTTAACTCGCAAAGAATAAATGTTGCAATTGACGAAAAGTCGTAAAAAAACAAATAAAACACCAACTGATCAATAAAAATAACAGAATTACGGCAAGGTACATTGAACACTGTAAAAATTTTATCGCCCGAAACTGAAATGTTTTATTAAAAAGAAAATAACTGAAATTGTAATGATATTATAGGAAATAAAAAATACAGCAAAAATAATGGTTTTTAATTTTATTTCAGACATTAAACTCTAATTCTTTTTCAAAACTTTTAGCATTTTCT